ATCTGGCTCATCATGATCTGATCTCTGGTTCTTGGGACTTGAGCTAGCAGCCTACTGTACTGCCTGCCAATGTCAGGATTCGTCAGCCTCCACAGCCTGTGAGCCAGCAACCTGCCATCTAACCTGCCGATCTTGGGTTTGTTAGCCCTTGCATCTATGACAGTCAGGAGAAGCCTGCAGTCTGACCCACAGACTTGGGACTCTCTAGCATCTACAACCGTGTGAGTCATTTCCTTGAGATCAGTCTCTCTCTCTCTCTATATATATATGCACTTTACTGGTTTTGCTTCTCTAGAGAACCCATCCTATAGTGATTTCCCCAGTTCCAGAATGTATAATTGGAATAGGCATACTCAGCAACCGGTAGAACCCTGGATCCCTGACATGTGGAGTAAGGGCTATCATGGTAGGAAAAGCCAAGTGGAAGCCACTGGAACTGCCCCTACCTAGGAAAATAGTAAACCAAAACCAGTACCATATTCCTGGAGGGATTGCAGGGATTAGTGCCACAATAAATGACTTGAAGGATGCAGGGGTGGTGATTCCCACGACATCCCCATTCAACTCCCCTATTTGGCCTGTGCAAAAAACAGATGGATCTTGGAGAATGATGGTGGATTAATGTAAACTTAACCAGGTGGTGACTCCAGTTGCAGTTGTTGTTCCAGATGTGGTTTCATTGCTTGAGCAAATTATAATATATCTTCTAGTAATTTATATGCAGCTATTGATTTGGCCAATGCCTTTTTTCTCAATTCTAGTTTCAAAGGATCATCAGAAGCAGTTTGCCTTCAATTGGCAAAGCCAGCAATACACCTTCACTGTCCTACCTCAGAGGTATTAAGACACCTAACTACAACTTTCCAGCCATATGTCATAATTAATTCGCAGGGGACACTGAGTCCATGGGCTCAGCAACATGAACTTGCACTCACCAAGGTTGACTTGGCTACAGCCACTGTTGAATGCCCAATTGGCCATCAGAGGCCAACACAGAGTCCCTAACAAGTCACCATTCCTTGAGGTGATCAGACAGCAACCTGGTGACAGGTTGATTACATTGGATTACTTCCATCATGGAAGGCAGCGTTTCATTCTTACTAGGATAGACAAGTACTCTGGTTACGGATTTGCCTTCACGGCATGCAATGCCTCTGCAAAACTACCATCTGTGGACTCCCAGAATGCCTTATCCACTGTCATGGTATCCCACACAGCATTGTCTCAGATCAAGGGACTCACTTCACAGCCAATGAAGTATGGCAATGGGCCCATGCTCATGAAATTCACTGGTCTTACCATGTTCCCTGACATCCTGAAGCAGCTGGCTTGATAGAACATGGCATGGTCTTCTAAAGATACAATTACAGCAACAGCTAGATGGCAACACACTTTGCAGGGTTGGGTCAATGTTCTCCAAGAGGCTATATGTATTCTAAACCAGCATCTAATGCATGGTGCTGTTTCTTCCATAGACAGGATTCATGTTTCCAGGAATCAAGGGGTAAAAATGGGAGTGGTACCACCCACTATTACCCCTAGTGATCCATTCACAAAATTTTTGCCTCCTGTTCCTGTGACCCTATGATCTGCGGGTCTAGAGGTCTTAGTTCCAAAGGGAGGAATTCTCACAGCTGGAGACACAACACAGATTCCATTGAACTGCAAGTTAAGAATGCCACCCAGCCACCCTGGGCTCCTCATTTGCCTCTGGATCAACAGGCAAAGAAGGGAGTTACCATATTGCCTGGTGTGATTGACCCTGGGGAAATTGGATTGATCATGCATAATGGAGGTAAAAGAGTATGTCTGGAATGCAGGAGATCCCTTAGGGTATCTCTTAGTACTACCATGCCCTGTGATTAAAATCAATGGAAAACTACAGCAACCCAATTCTGACATGATTACTAACGGCCCAGACCCTTCGGGAATGAAGGTTTGGGTCACTCCACCAGGCAAAGAGCCATGGCCTGCTGAGGTGCTTGTGGAGGGCAAAGGAAATATGGAAGGGGTGGTAGGAGACAGTAGTTCTAAATACCAGTTACCAACATGTGACCAGTTGCAGAAACAAGGACTGTAACTGCTGTATTTCTTCCTTGTATGTGTGCATCAAATAGTTTTGTTTTCTTCACTTATAAAATATAAGATGTAAACAGGACTAGTGTGTGTTTGGTTGTACGCATGTTAGTTGTATCACATTTGCTGTAAGTATGACTTTATAATTGTCTTTATTCAGAGATTATGTATAGTTTAAGGAGATGTTTACAGGTGCCAAGATGACAAGGGGTGGACTGTGATGTCACAGTGTTAACTTGGCTGGGCCATGATTCTGTTTTGGCAGTTATGTAACCATGTAGCTTGCCAGTTACGTGATGATGTCATCTGGCAGTTATGTAATGATGTAGTCATCCTCCATGATGTGACTGGCCAATCAGTTGTAAGGGGCATTTCCTCCAGGGTATGGCCAGCATCCAATATGTATATAGGCATTCGAGCAAAATTCACTTGCTCTTTCTGGATCCTGCATCCAGCTCATCATCATCTGACCTCTGATTCTTAGGACTTGAGCCAGCGGCCTGTCTTGCCTGCTGCTTTTGGGATTTGTCAGTCTCCACAGCCTGTGAGCTAGCAGCCTACTGTCTTACCTGCCAATCTTGGGATTCGTTGGCCTGTACAGCCCATGAACCAGCAGCCTGCTGTCTGACCTGCCAATTTTGGGTTCATCAGCCCCTGCAGCTACGTCAATCAGAAGTCTCTAGCCTGATGCCTGACCCAGAGACTTGGGATGTGCCAGCGTCTACAACTGCATGAGCCATTTCCTTGAGATAAATCTCTCATATATACACTTCACTGGTTTTCCTTCTCTAGAGAACCCAGCCTAAAACACTATCTATAGTATTCCTTTACTAATATACTCTAAGCTCCAAAGAGACTGAGAATAAAGCAAATTATAATCAATATATTCATTGAACTTTGATGGTATTATCTTTTCCAAATGCTCAAGGTACCTTTGTGTACACTTGAATAAGCTCTGGTAGGAAAATTATTATCTAGAAACTGAGGCCCTAGAAAGTGATTGGTTAGTGATCTGCCCAATGTCAGAGGTGGCTAGTGGTAGAACAGAGATTAGAACTCAACTCTCTTGATTTCAAATCATGTGCTGTCTCTTAAAACTACAAGGACAAGTACAAAGATTTCATACTATAATATTGCTCAAAGTTGGAGAGATCTTCAGAATATTGCTCTTAGACTTGTTTCTCTACTAAAACATAGTAATCCTCTACCCCAAGTTGTTGGCAAACTGGATTGCCAATAAATATCTCTTGGGGCCTAAATCTAAAAGGATCCAGGTCGCTTGACTCCTCCTGAAGAGATCTGTTTCCAAGTTTCTTACAACATCATCTCATCATACACCTCAGAGAGAACAAAAACAAAGTGGGGCACTTAGTCTTGCTCTCTCCAAGTACCTAAGTTGTGAAGGGGTTAGCTAGACTCAATTCTAAAGAAAGGGGCAAGAAAAGAAAACACAGACACTCGATGACTCATGAAGGGTTGAGGCAGCAGAGGATACTACCAGAAGTTCAAATTCAAGTGACAGAAGCAAAGGGAGGGTTCATCTCCAAATTTGTTGATACCTCTAACCAACTCTTTGCGGGAGGAAGCAGGAAGTCAGGACCTGTTCTTTTAAGATCCACTTAGAGCCCTACAATCTAGAAAATAGTTATCTGGGGATAGTACAGCAATCTGGAAGCAAACCCTTGATCACAATAGCAAAAGGGCAAGGGTGAATGATTTGGAATTACTTTTGGGGGTCAAGCCCCTGCCCCAGACTTTTACAGTCACTGACTGAACTGAAACAAAAACTGTTGAGATCATCTACACTGTCATTTCTAAGTTACTTCAAGCAAGTGTAAAATAAGGATTATTCCAAGTTTATATAGTTTTAGATGTACATAATTCCTCAACTTTATACTGACTCCACAGTCTAAAGTCCCTCTTGAGGCATTTTTAAAAGAAAACGTTTATTTTTGCTTAGTGTGCCCTCTTCCTCCTTGCTTGGGAAAATGTCACACTCATGAGAGACAAGGAGCTTGGGGAGAGTCACATAAGACCAATAGTGTGATAGTCTCATACTCTAGACCCCAGCTGTACTTCCAGCTCTGCCAGTGAATGCTTTGTCCTCTCAAAGTCTGTTTCCTCATTTGTGAAGTGAGGGGATTGGACTGAGTGATTAAATAAAAATTCCCCTAAGCACTTGGTACGTGAGATGCATGATGATACTTCTAGGGATACAAAGATGAGCATGGCATAGTCCCTGCCTCAAGAAACCAACAACCTAATTGACGAGATAAATCTCACACACACACCCATAATTTATTGCAGACCTTTCAAGTGTTATTTCAAGGAGAGAAAGCAGAGATGGCCAAGGCTGGAAGATATGGTATGGAGACAAAAGCATGGAAAGAATTTAAAAAATGACAAATATTCTATTCTGGGTGTAGTATATGGGAATAAAGGACTAAAACTAAGACAGTTGAGATCAGGCTGTTTTTGAATTGGTAAATGACAAGACCAGTCCTGTGCAAAGAGGATTAGCCTGGCAGTTGTGGGTAGAAGTAAATGCTATGGGGAAGAGACTGGAGGCAGAAGGCCAGTTAAGAGGTTATTGCAATAGACCAGGTGAGTAGCAATGAGGGTCTGAGCCAGGATGGTGGCAGTGGAAACAGAGCCTAGTAATCAACACCTAACAACAATATTAGTCAATATATTAAGCCAACCCTTTAAGCTGCTAAACCCAATCCTTCAAGGCAAGTAACAGGCCATGCCAGGTAAACATAATTAAAATGGAAGGCTTATTTGAATAAAGCTTTCCTAAAGCAGAGTATCAGGAACAAATGAGCCCAGACCCAAGTTGATGTTAGAACCATCACCACCCTCCAGGCCTTGTACTCTCACCAAGACATTCAGCCAACTCTGGAAAAGAAATATACATAGGAGACTCAAGAAACATCTTATTAACACAGTATTTTTTTGTCTTTCCGCTGTCAAACCCTGAGTCAATCACTTTCCCCAGGCTGCCTGGAGAGGTACAGGGCAAGGAACATTTAGGGCAGACGACAGGAAAAAGAAACTATGGGAGGTGGAGACGGCTCCTTCACATGGCGAAGAGGATCAGAAAGGCCACCATCAGGCAAAAGAGTCCCATGGCTTCTGAGAGGGCAAAGCCCAGAATGGCGTAGGAGAAGAGCTGCTGCTTCAGAGAAGGGTTCCTGGGAAAAGGGAAGGAGAAAAGACTGAATTTCTAGTCCACACAAAAAGGACAAACATTAAAGGTAGGCTCAAGGAGAATTCCCCTCCTGGAACTCATCTTATGTAATGAGTCTTTCAAGGTGACACCACCATGCCCAAATTCTTGAGCTGACACACCAAAGGTTCTACAGGGACTGAGTGAGGGGCGTGAACAATCCAAAATACTTTAACATGGCCGAGGTATAAACATGACCTCCTTTAGTGACTCAGCCATATCATCATCATAACTTAAGACCTCTAGGCCTGGATACTTAATATCCAGGGCCTAACCAGGATGGCGGAAATCCTGGTGGCAAAGTGGTTAAGAGCTATAGCTGCTATATAGCTGCTAACCAAAAGGCTGGCAGTTCAAATCCAGCAGCTGCTCCCTGGAAACCCTATGGGGTGGTTCTACTCTGTCCTACAGGGCCGCTATGAGTCAGAATCGAGTCTCAGCAATGGATTTGGTTTGGTTGTTTTGGAACCAGGATGGCAGAGGCATCTAGAGTAACAGGGTCTATCTAGAGCAGTGTTTTCAAACTTTTAAACAGCAGAACCCCAGATCATGAAACATAAAAAACCAAATTTCAATAGCTCATAAGAAGTGGGGGATTTTAAAGGCCTGTTTGACTGGCCTCCCCTCATTCTTTAAGACTGTCTTTGATGGGACATCCTCAGCATCCCAGGGTTTTATGTAACACAATTAAAAAAAAAAAAAAAAAAAAAAGCAAACAAACAAAAAACTATTGTTCTAGAGGACAAGAGGAGTCAGAGGGATACAACTACCTTCCTTCATTCTAAAACAGTCAAAAGATTTTGGACCTTAAGAAGCTACAAATAATCTGCGGAGTTTAGATGACACGCTAGACGTACTATCATTTAGATGATAATATGTTTAGATAGTAACAATAGGAAAAAGGACTCCCAACTTTGAAAATCAATATATAATTTGTATTTCCCTCACTCTGACACCTCTGCAAGCATGATGGTTAAGGGAAATCACCACTGACTTCTAAAAGAATTGTGAACACAGAAGCAGTCAGGCTTCTTGTTTCATACAAATCCTGAAAAATAAATCTATCTCCCCAAAGACATTAAGAGAACCTGCTGGTCTCTAGAGGATTAATTTAGTTCTAACAATGAGTTGCCCAGAGTCGGCAGGGACCAAATGATCCCAGGTTTCAGGGACCAGTAGGGCTGGCTGCAGAGGCAGTTTTCCCAGGAGTGACAGAAGGGAATTCCCAGGGATGGGGAAAAACAACAGTGAAGTTACTGTGCTGACTGAGGCTTCAGACAGGGGTTGCAAACTTTTTCTGTAAAGGATCAGACAGTAAATATTTTAGGCGTTGTGGGCATTTGGTCTCTGTTGTACAATTAAACAACAAAATAAAACACAACCCTTTAAAAATATAAAAAGTTCAGATTATACAGGTGTACAAAAGCAGATTTGGCCCTTGGGTATTAGTTTGCCAACTCTGGCGCTAGACAAAAGCTGTTCAATAGAATTTTCTTTAGTGATACAAATGTTCTTCATCTGCATTTCCGACTTGTGGTTACTGAGCATTTGAAATGTGGCTAGTGTGAATGAGAAATTGAAATCTTAAATTCTACCTAATTTTAATTAATTAGAAGTTAAATTCAAATAGCCATTTTCATATGTGGCTAGTAGCTACCATATAGGTTAGTGCAGCTCAGGAACACCAAATATTTCTACTCAGACCTTTGGAAAGCCTATCAGAGGAACCAACTTATCTTACCTCGCATAACCAATGATGAGGCTCCCAAACACAGTCCCAATCCCAGCTCCAGAGCCAGCCACTCCGACTGTGGCAGCCCCAGCACCAATGAACTTGGCTGCTGTGTCGATGTCCCTTGAGATGGCGGTCGTTTGGAAGCTGCGACTAGGGATAAGTGAAGTCAGGGAATGCGGGGCTGTCAAGCTGCTGAAACCCTGTGAAGATGAGGTAGATGGAAGGTAAAGTTTTTAGGGGAAACCTCTTCTTTTGGAAACTTTTGTACCATTTAAACCCTTTATACTGTCAAACCCCACAGTTTTCCCCCCCAAATGGAAGATCTTTTACCTCCTGGAAAACTCTTCAAAATGATGGCAAGCAGAACTGCTTAATGTAGGAGGTAGATTTCAAATACCTTGATGATTCAGATGTGGTCTAGAAGTATAAGATTGAGGCCCTAGGTTGTTCTCGGTGCACTGAGATCTTCCTGGGACTAGATGCTCCCAACTGAAGTCAGTAAACCAGGCCCAGCAATGGCAGTTATTAGCGGCACACATGAGCATGTGCTGCCAGTGGCAAAAGCTGGAGCACTAGAGCATATGAAGTGGCCGCCATCACCTAAAAGCCAATGGCCTTATTCCTTCACTAATTCTGGTCTGTGATTATTGTCCTCAGCACTCCCCCTACTGGTTCTGGTGGGTAACCCTCCTCACCTCTCTCCCCCAAACCACAGGCCCAACTTACACCTGCAACGTACCTCATCTGTCAGTGCCTGGGGTTGTTTCAGCACCACTGCAGACAACGGTCGGCTCAGCAGCTGAGAGGTGCTCCTGACCTAGCAGGAATGACACAAGGGCAGGAAGATCAGGGAGGGCTGTGGAAAGGAGTTTCAGAACCATGCCAAGTTATCACTTGCATCAACAGGTAAGATCTTCTCTCCTCTGATGCCTCTTCCATTCTCTCACACTTAAATCAGAATCTAGTATCATTCTTTCTTAATTTTAGCTAATTATAGATTTAAGAACAATGCAATTTCTCTTGCTTCCCAGGCTTCCTTGCTTTAAGGGAAGAAAGTCTACTTCCTTTTGAGCTACAAGGGTTTACCCACCCTCAATGAACCCTTTTACGGCCGTTGAGAAACCACAGAAATCTAAGCCTCAGAAACATCTGCTTCACTCAACAAGGGAAATATATATTATTGAGGGCAGCCTCTCAGAAGGAAGCCAATGACTGAGGCAGAAAGGGGCACCTTTCCCTGAACACATCCTGCAGGAAAATAGTCACAAAGATTCATGCTCAACATTTACCCCCTAGTAGTCTTTTCTGACCCCAAGCCAGACAGTATAGAGGTTAAGACCCAGGACTTTCAAGTCAGATGGATCTAGATTCAAATCTCAGCTCTGTATCAGCTGTGTAATCTCAGTACAATGACGTAATCTCTTCAAGCCTATTTCCTCATCTCTCAAATGAGAATATTATTTCTCAGGGTTGATTTGAGGAGTAAGTGAAATTATGTATTGGTAAATTCAGTGCCAGGCACATGGTAAATGCTCAATAAATGAGACCTACTAATAGCATCAATCCTGTTCATTTATAAATTGATTAATCAATTGCCTCCACTATCTATTAATTTGCAATTTCTTCTCTGCTGCTGCTTCTAAGTTAAATACTTTTCAATATAAATTTATGTGTATTTTAGCTTCTCACCAAATTTAAGTTCCCAGAGTGAACTCCTAGCTATGGTTCTCCTTTCCAACACTCAGAACAAGATCCTACATACAACGCATACTCTGCCCAAGTTATACAATCTACTTCATGTTCACCAAGACTGGCTGAGGTCCAGTTTACTGGAATACTTCGTTTTAGGATTAGGAATAATCTCATCTTGATCTACATTTTTATCTATACTCTCCTTCTAAATGGTTGGATGAGAGAATTAACTAGCCTCCAAGGGATGTGAGTTAAGAGGGTAACTGGTAAGCATTCATTCTCTCCTGTCAGGCTACCATAGAAAAGTGCCTTCCCTTCCCAAAAAAATCTTCTCACATTTCCCTGCCCAACTGTGAGAAACAAGGTCTGATGGCAAGGAAGAGACAAGATGCCCCCCTCCTTAAAGACTCCCAAAAAAGGCAGGTACTCACCAAGGAGGGAGTGGAGACAAACTTGGCGCAGATGTACATTTTCAGGGGATGAGGGGCTGTGGCAGAAGAGCTGGAATTACAGAAGCTGCACTGTAAACATTGTCCTCACTAAACTACATTCTCATTAGCAGAAAAGGTGCTCTGGAAAATTTAACTAGTCCAGAGAGCAGAGTGACTAACCTCAAGTCATCAGCACAGATGGAATTAGAACCCTGAAGTCATGATTTCCACCAGAAACCCCACACAGCTTCCAAAATTTCCTTATAATCAAATGACCTCCCCTTGCCTGAACAAGTGGTTACTGAGTCCCAGCTTTAAGACCAGTTATCCATTTCCATAGTCTCATAAATTTGGGTTTTCAGATGAATTTACCCAGAGTGCCCTCTCCCTAAGTCTTCCTTAGTCCCTACTCAAAAGGAACACTTCTCAAGGCCTCATTGCCTGGACCTTAAAAAAACTGCAATATAAAAATTGGAGTCTTTATACTCTTGGGAGATATTTGTTGGAGGCTAAGACCCTGGAAGATCTCGAACAATCTTTTTACTGAATTACCTGAAAGTATTTTCTCTCTCAAAACACTTCTATTTCCTACATTAATTAACAGGGCAGGGTAGATCAGTGGGAAAATGCATTACTCTAATTCGCAATGACTGTTAAAATATTCTTCACTTTCACCATCACACTAGGGATATTCAATTTTGTATCCCCAACATCTAAAACAGTTGCACCCAAGGTGCCTAAGTTGGTAGAACTGAACTTATCTGGGAGAAGAGGTAGGGTGAGTTAAAAACCTTAAGGCAAGGTGTCTCAAAGTGAAGTGAGAGGTCCATGTAAACCAGAATTATTTGGGGGTACAGGTGATGTATGTACTAAAAATGCATATTCCTGGGCCCCCCCTCAGACCTTACTGGTCAAGATCTCTGGGAACAAGGCCCAAGTACCTGCATTTCAAACAAGCTTCTCAAATGATTCTTATATACAGTTAACTTTGAGAGCCACAGTCTTAAAGCCAGTCTTGAAACTCTGGTAGTGATAAAGCCAGGACTTGAACTCAGATCTTCTCACTAAGTTACATGCTTTCTAATAAATCATAGGCTGAAATACTCAGTAATTATGGGCCTGTTAAATACCACTCCCTTAAATGAGTTGTACTCAAGACTGTTGCAGGTTACAACACTACTGATTACTTTTAGATTAATGGGTGTCTTCAACCCCTGTCCTGTCTAGAGCTCTGATTTCTGCACATACATAAATCAAATCCAATTTTGCTGTTGGACTACTCAGTTTTCATGGGTCAAAATTCCAAAACTTCTTTAAAGCTTTATAAAAGGATGAATTTTTTTTTTTTCCCCTCAAGGCAATTAAACCTCAATATCCTTTGATTCTTAGGGGGATTAAATGAGATAACATACATAAAGACCTTAAGGTGGTGCTGGCATGTAATAAGCCCATGATAAAGGGTGACAGTTAAGAGAGCCTGAGTGAAGTGCAGAACCCTGGCAGCGAAGTGGTTAAGCTCTAGGCTACTAACCAAAAGGCCAACGGTTTGATGCCACCAGCCGCTCCATAAGATAAGTATGTGGCAGTCTGCTTCCGTAAAAATTTACAGCCTTGAAAACCCTATAAGGCAGTTCTACTGTCCTACAGGGTCAGTATGAGTCGGAATCAACTTGATGGCAATGGGTTTGGTTTTTTGATTTGCAGTGATGTGCGCTTCCTTCCATCGGTTGCTTAACCTTGGTAAGTCTGCAACTGTTAGCCTACAACACCTTGGGCACTACCCAGAGTTAGAGCTCCTATATCATAACGGGTCTCTTTCCCAATGTAATCATTCTTTTTCCTTTTGAGAGCAGAGTCTGGGAGGTTAATAAACCCTTGACAGGAAACCTGGCAGGTGGCCATTCTCCCAGGCTGGCCCCATCTACTTGGCCTTACTCCTGCTATTCTGGGCCTGCGATCTCTAAACAGAAACCCTTACTTCTCAAGGCCACAACTTGTGCGTTTTTCCAACTTCACTGGAGGATCAGGGAAGGAAGAGAACGGTACTGGGAGATAACCAACCAATGGCTCCCAAAAAACCTCTCTTCTCTTTTCTGCCTTAGCTCTCGCAGGCCACAACCTGAAGGGAAGAAGTGTTCTGGCTGTTCTGTTCACTTCTACAATATTCATGGTTTACTTTTAAAATCGAGGATTGCTGACTAGAGGTTTGCGGCTGTAGGGGATCCACTATCTCCTTTGCTTCGGGCACGTGAGGTCCTGGGGCCGAAAATCTGGGGCAGATTAAGTATAAGGAAGGAACTAGTCAGGATGAAAGGAGAAAGCAAAAACAGGAGTTTGGGGGTGTGACAACTCTGAAAAGGCAACCAAACCAAACCCACTGCCGTGGAGTCGATTGCGAATCATTGCGACCCTACACGACACAGTAGATCTGCCCCATACGGTTTCCAAGGCTATAAATCTTTACGGAAGCAGACTGTCACATCTTTTCTCCCGCCAAACGGCTGGTGGGTTCGTTCGGTTAGCAGTCGAGCACTTTAACCATTTCGCTACCAGGGCTCCTCCTGAAAGGGTAAGAAGGTGAGAAAAGAACGTTGTGAGGGCTGAGTCGGAACAGGTGAAAATGAGCAATCGGGATCTGACTTTCGCCTGCTCCAAGGCACTCCCGCGCCGCGACAGACATCCAAGATGGCGCCAGGCCCGCGCGGCTGGAGGTTACCGGCACGCGGAAGTGGCAGCCCCAAGGCTCGGAGATACCGGGAGCTAGGCAGGGCGCGAGGACCGGGGTGAGAGCATGCAAGGTAAGGGCCTCAAAGCATCCGCGCGCGCGGTACAGTACCCCGCGCGCGTGCGCGGCTCAAAGCGGGAGCGAGGCCCCAAGGCCTTACCTGCTCCAAGTGCAGAGAAGACAGAGAGGGCAGGGGGTTGAAGATTGCGGGAGGGAAGGCTCAGCGCATGCGCCGCCCGGGCCAACGAGTCGCGCCGTCGAAGATAGAATGGCGCCGCCCGGGCCAACGAGTCGCTCCGTCGAAGATAGAATGACTGCAACGTAGAGGGTCGGCCCGGGCGCTACAGCGCCGCCCGCCAGCTCGGTGGCTGCATTCGGCCAGTCGCTCCACCTGGCGTTTCAGAGGAGAAACTGCAGGCGAAGGCGATTGTGCGCAGAAATGAAGGCAACAGGCAGTCTAAACCCATTGGTAACGTGACCTGCTGTTTGGTCCGCACGGAGTTGGAATCGTGGACTCGCGTCCCCTTTCCAAGCATGCGCAGTCACATTGCCAAAAAAAACTACTCAGAAAAAACTAGCATGAAATCGGGATTGAGATTCACTATCCAAAATGTAACAAGAGGAAAATTAAGCCATTGGATTCTTGCTTTCCGTCGCCCCCAGGACCCTGGCATCGTTGGACAGGAAACCCGTTCAATGGGTGAATAGTCGGCAAAATGCGCCAGCTGCCGCTGGTGGCTTCGCCTTTTTTCCCTTTCCCTCTTATTCCGGTGATCAGCCATGAAGAAACCAGCATCAGTGAGCCAGAAGACAGGCTAAATATGATTGAGACCCAAGCACCCAGATCCTAAGCCTTCTTTCCTCTGAGTCTTGGGGAAATCAAGGAATAACAGACACCTGTCACCTGTAGTGAGGTTGCGAGGTCACCCCAGGCATGCCCAAGCCTCTGTCCGGGCCTCACCTACGCGATTGAGGATAAGTGGACCCCCCATGAGGTGCCCTCATGAAAGCCCCCTCGTCTTCTCAGTCGTGCCCTTTCGCTCATCCTTTCCCCGGTGGAAGGAGGTGGAAATCTTCCCGGTCCACATCTCTTCCTCTAAACCACTTCGCCTCCTAGACAGGGTCTGACTAGTCCTTTGGAAAGAAGAGGGCGGCAAGGCCTCCCCAGTTCCCCCTCCTGTCCAAACCCCAGCATCGTGCTTGAAAGGCAGCATGAGGAAAGACGGGAAAAGCTCACTACACCCCCATAAAAAATAAAAAGAAAGCCGCGGCTGTAAATAAAGCCAAATCCGCCACCCTCTGAGGGGCCGTTTGTCCTCCCCTCCTTGGCCCCGTCCTTCCCGCCGCCTCTCCCGGCTCCCGGACCCCGCGGCGCCCAGGCCCCGAGCTCCTCCATTTAATCGGATTTGGGAGAAGGGGAGGATAAATCACGGCAGCAGCTTTACGGTCCCGGAGGAGAGGCGAGCCGCAGCCAGGCACACCCCGGCCGGCGATAAAAACCCCCGCTGAAAGCCCACGGAGCAATTTCCCGGGACCCCGAGCGACGCCATTACAGGAATGTAATTTTGCCCGGATGAGGCCCTGAGTTTAATTATCCTCGCGGAGGAATTTCAATGCGGCCAATCCATCTTGCAGGCGGGCGGCAGAGGGATTTATATGGCCCCGTTATTTCACACCGATCCTCCATCTGCATTTTTATGGCCCTGAGCTCCTGAAAGGGAGGGTTAGGAATGGGGAGGAATAGGAGAGCAAGCGAGGAGAGAAGAGTGGGGGACTTCCCCGTTTTTCTTAAATCCAAGATTCCAGCTAGGTTAGGATTCTCACGGGTTTCCCATGAAATCCCCATATCTCTCTCTGGTTCCTGTTGACTAGGGGGAGGGCTTGAGGAATGGAGCTGGAATCCTTGGGAATCAATCAATCAACAGGTATTTACCAAGTACCAAGCAGTGCCAGGCACCGTGTAGGATGCTATGAGGAGAAAGGGAAGACAGGCTAGCATGGGACTTAGAGTTTATCCCCTGAGGTTCCTAGACACACCCCACCCCCGTCCATACTGAATTCCTTTTAGCTCTTAGATTACGTTCTCCAAGGCAAAAAGTCCACAGTTCTTAGGAGCCGCCACCGCAAAACGGTTGTTGCAGCTGTTTTTTACGTGACAGCCAAGACCCCTCTCAGACATTGAAGAGTGAGGAAGCTAAAACTGGCTCCACTCAAAAGTTGTTACAGCTGCACTGCTTCTCTGCCTTACGGTGGTGGGCTCCTGATTCAGATAAACCTGGGTTCCCAAATCGCTCTGCGACCTTAGGCAAGCTGTTTTAACCCCTCTAAATCGATTTCCTCTTATATAAGTTGGGAATAATAATAGTGCTTACCCCAGGGCCAATACTGGGATAACATAGCAAGGTGCTATGATATCCAATAACCAAAAAACCCAACTCATGGCTATCAAGTCGATTTCAACTGACAGGGACCCTACAAGGACAGAGTAGAACTGCCCCATAGGATTCTAAGGCTGTAATCTTTAGGAAAGCAGACTGCCACATCCTTCTCCCGCCGAGCGACTGGTGGGTTCCAACCATCAACCTTTCGGTTAGCAGCCAAGCTGCTTAAGCATTGCGCCACCAGGGCTCCTTGATACCCAATAAGGGTCAATAAATGTTAGCAATTATTATTATTGGAGCACTGCAGCTCAATTCTACATTGCTCCCTAGAGACTGTTCTTTGCAAGTTCCTTGCAAAACGTCTCCTGAAACAGACTCAACTATCACTTACTAAACTTTTTCACCTACATAAATTATGCAAAACAAGTTATTTGACAAGTTTGTGGGTGAAGATCTGTGGGGAGGGCTGAGAATCTTAGGGGCTATTGCTACAAAGTCTGAAGCAAAAATTAGATCAGGAGGGGAGCAGTGAGACTACAAAATGTGGTCGGAGGTATGTGCAGGGTGGGTGAATTTGAAGACAACAAAAATAATCCAAGAGAAATTTAGGCTGAGAGTCTAGAAATCTTTCTAACCACCATCTTGGGGGAATGATCCGTCGTTTCACTGAGGCAAAGCTTGTGCCCAGGAAGGAAAGGGTGTTGAGTCAGAGCCATCCTTTCCAATCACTCTCTTTCTTTTCCTACCAGACCATGTAACAAGGCTGGCCTGATTGGCCAGTTTCTCTAATGACTGCTAGTGGCAGATTCTGACTGGTTAGCAGCCTCTCTGCACAGTGATGACGAAGAAAGGAGATTGATCTTTTCTTTCTCAGGACTGGTTAAGGACCCCGGGGTGGGGTGGGGGAGGGTGGGCAGAGACTCGTTTTAATTGACTGGATGGGCTAGGAGGGAGGTACAGCATCTTCCATATAGAAATTCTGAATGTTCTTATCCACAAAGGTCACCAAGAAAGAATCTTGATTGGCTTATGCATATTTGCCTTTGGATGGGAAACACACTAGTTCACAGAAGAAGAATCAAGAGAATTACGCAGGCATGCCACACTTCAAATTTGACACCTCAAATAGAGAAAGAGGGGGGATTCACAGAGAGAAACTTCCAAATCAAGCCTACTGCCTTCAAGTCGATTCTGACACATAGCGACCCCATAGGGTTTCCAAGGCTGTAAATCTCTAGAAAGCCGACTGCCATGTTTTTCTCCCTAGGAGCCGCTTTGGTTTCGAACTGCCGACCTTTCAGTTAGCAGTCCATCTCTTTAACCACTGCATCACCAGGGCTAAGAGGGATAAAAAGAGAAACAAAAACACAAAGAAAAAAAAATTGCCTGACAGAAGAGGAACGGTTTGAATCATCTATTTTGCATTCCCTATAGGGTCGCTATGAGTCGGAATCTACTGGATGGCAATGAGTGTTTTTTGGGGGGGTGGGGGGTGGGGTTTAAGGCTTAAGATAAGGAGTCCTGGTTACACAGTGGTTAAGCAGCTCATCTGCTAAACTGAAAAGTTGGCGATTCTGCTTCTGTAAGGATCACAGCCTTGGAAATTCTATGGGGCAGCTCTACCCTGTCCTTCAGGGTCACTATGAGTTGGAATGGATCGCACATTGTTGTTTTTTTTTTTTTTTTAATGACTTAAGATGAAGTTAGTTTATGATGTATTTGCGAAATGCTATGTTGCCCTCAAGTGCATGGAAAGAACAGTTGTCTTGGAGGCAGGAGACTAGGAGTCTAGTCCCAACCCTGCTACTAACTAGCTCCAGTTTCCAATTGCTAAGGTTCCTTCCCGTGTTAACTTTCCAGGATTCTCTTTCTTTCTGCTAGCAGGTAATTTTACATAAGTTGAAATGATACCTTTGCACTGCCAATAAGGTCTATTCTTAGATCTTGAGCTCCTGTGTTCATCTGTGATTGTCAATTTCAAGCTCCTGGGGCTGTGATTGACTGGTGGGCACTGACTGATGGACTTTCTACTTTCTCTTGCTAAATCAGTTCCTCAGGACAGCAGGACAGTGAACCATCAGTTAACTTCCCCATTTCTAGAGAAAGAAAAGGGAAGGAAGAAGGGAAAGGATTTTTGATCATCCAGGCCCGGGTGGTGCAAACAGTTAAGTTCTTGGCTTCTAATTGAAGGGTTGACGGTTTGAATGAACCAATAGGTGCTTTGGAAGAAATGTTTGGTGATCTGCTTCCAAAAGGTCACAGGTATGAAAACTCTATGGAGAACAGTTCTACTCAGAAACACATGGGGTTGCCATGAGTTGGAATTGACTCAATGGCAACTGGTAAGAGGGAGATCAGTGGGAAAGTTGGTAGCAGAAGAATGGCCAAGAAAGTTTTTGCTGGGGAAGAATCTTAAGTTCCTTTGAATTTGTATGATGAATCTGTATATATCCTACATATTTCTCTAGAAGCCATGATTAAGCATCTATGTTAACAGATTTGGTCCCTGCCATTTGGTGGCTCCCAGACTAAGGAAGACACACAAACAAAACAGAAAATAAAAGGTATTGTGATATACTGTGAAGAGCTGTGCACAGCAAGATCTGAGGTCTGGATTTTGGGATAAAAATCCAGTACCAGTTGCCCTCAAGTCAATTTCAACTCATGGTAGCCCCATGTGTGTCAGAGAACTGTGCACCATAGGGTTTTCAATGGCTGATTTTTTCAGAAGTAGATCACCAGGCCTTTCTTCCAAGGCACCTTTGGGTGGACTTGAACCTCCAACATTTTGTTACCAGTCAGGTGCATTAACCATCTGCATCATCCAGGGACTCCTAGATTTTGGGATACTGTTAGTTATGCGACTTTGAGAAAATCACTTCACCTCTCTGGACTTCAGTTTCCATATCTATAAAATGTAGGAATGCACTAGATGATTACAAATTTCTCTTTCAGCCTTAAGTATATATTAAATAACATAGATCTGACCCTCCTGGTTTGCCCTTGTCTCCTGTAACTTCAAGAAATCAACAAATATTTATTGAACATCTACTATGTGCGAAGTATTGTGCTACATATTGTGAGTGGGAATAAAAAAGTAGAAAACACGATCCTTTGTCTTCATAAATTTATAATGTAAGAAAGATAAGACACAAACATATAACTATAAATATGCAGCAGGATTTAATAGATTATTTGGATAATAGGAGTTAAGAAGGCAGTGTGACTTCCAGCTGGAATGATCAAGGGGACACCATGATTAAGTTAGGTGTTTTCCTTCTTTAAAAAAAATTATTAAATATTTGAATCATATAAACAAATGCAAGTAATATATATTTATTTAACAGATATTTTTTGAGCTCCTACTATGTGCCAAAATAGGTGCTGGGAATACAAGCATAAACAAAGCAAGACAAAAACCCATGCCTTCTCATATGAGATATTTTATATAGATTATGAAGTATAATAATAAAATGGACACCCATTAAGCCACTCCCCCAATTTAAGAAAAGAAAAAAAGATTACCAATACCACTGAAGGTTCCCATGTTCTTCTCTCCTATAGTAACCCCATCTCCATTCTCCTGAATTTTATGTTTATCATTTCCTGTTTTTTTTTCATATTATTGCCACATGTTATTTATTTTGCCCACCCCCTTCCTTTTTTAAAAATCATTCTAAGAGTGTTTGTAGACTTCTTTGGCTTGCTTTTCTCATTCTAAGATTCAAGCATGTTGATGTAGGTGGTGGTGTTGCATGCCATGCAGTTGATTCTGACTCATAGTGACCCTGTAGGGCAGAGTCAAGCTGCCCCATAGGGTTTTCTAGGCTGTAAATTTTTACCAGAGCAGATCGCCAGGTTTTTTTCTCCTGCGGAGCCACTGGTGGATTCAAACCTTCAACCTTGCCATTAGCAGCGAGCGTGTTAGCCATTGCACCTTAACCATTGCACCACCAGGGCTCCTTGTTGATGTAGGTAGCTGTAGTCTGTTTATTTTCACTGATGTATAGTAACCCACCAATTATTGATTAATTCCCATGTCAATGAATATTTAGGTTGTTTTCAGGTTTTTTTTTGCCCTTCAAACAATGCTGCTTTGAACATTTCTTTACCTGCCTCCCTATATACATGGGTCAGAGTTTCTTCAGGATATAAAAGAGAATTGCTGG